CCCCAAAACCCCAAAACCCCAAAACCCCAAAACCCCTCAACATTATATATGCATAATTATAGTAAGTTATTAATTAAATTATTCTGAGATCATTTAATCATGGGGCAAATAATATCTAAAGTAAATAACTGGGACCCGAATTGTATGCATTCATCATTCTTAAAAACAAATTCTCATAGTGAAGTTATTGATATTTGGAGTTATTACCCCTTTCACAGTGTGTGTGCTTTTATACACGAGTTTAGCAGGAGATGAAGACAACTAGAACAACTTAACCTTAGGCTACGACGATGATGAAGATCTAGACGAGAAGACAATTGTCGGCTTGATTGACATGCAGTTCTAAATCGGAGCTTTCCCAAGGATAAGAGACGAATTCAATCATAAAAGGCGCTAGTTGCTGAAAAATCTAAATGTTAATTAAGCCCTAACTGAAAATCAAACAAACAGATATATTTAACTTGTTCTTGAGTACGATCAAAAACTTGGCGCTGCTTTGGAGCGTAATTTGGATGATATTAGTGATATATATGGAGTTTCAAAAGACCAAATAAAGAAATCTCAGAATAAATACATCAACAACAGTAACTCTCATAAATTACTCGCTAGACAAGAAGTTCTCTAGGCTAGAATTCCCAGATGGTTAGATTCAAACAAGGCTCTTGATATCAAGCACGAGATGGAGGAGTACGCATCAAGGCAATAAAAGTTTTTTATGGAATACTTAATGAATCAGGAATAGAAGAGAGTCTATGGAGCAGATTATTCACAAGTGAGTGAGAGAATGCTATAGGCAGAAGAAATAATGGAGTAATCGAATTTTGATTATAATGAAGAATCTGATCCACTTCAAATGGCTATATACAAAAGTACTACTGTTGCCAAATATATAACTTTAGACATGATCTTAGAGAAATCTCATAAAATCTCAGAGGCCCAATTAAAAAGAATGCTATATAAATAAGATTTCGACAATCTAGAGTCTAAAAAGGGAATTTTATACAAACTTAAGAAACAATTTTGGGGCTGAGCACACTCATTGTTAGAATCAAGCAAATATGACAAATCACACGACAGGCTCTCAATAAATAAAACTCTCTCCACTGAGTGTGATCGTATTTGTTATAGTAGGATTTTAAGCAGTTTATCTTTAAGGGAAGGGGTAAATTGCTGGAAGTCTTGCTTGATATTTAAATTAATTTAATTGTTAAAATAGTCTGCTTTTAAATTATAATAATGTCTAAAAATAACAATAACAGCAACATCAATATAAATATCAACAGCAAAATGATAGGAAGCGGTAGTAAGCATGTTAGTAGCAGTAGTGTTGCTCAGCCTAGATTTATGAACTCAAAACTAGCCTCACCTCCACCCTTTTCTCCCAGCAAGAGGAATGTACCACAATAGCAGTAGCAAAATTTATCACAGAAAGTTCAGTTAAAAAGATCTAAAAGAACTGAAAAAGAAAATGATAATGACTATACTAAGCAGACACATTAGGAGTAAGAAATAAATACTGTTCTATATGCTTGGGGATGTAAGATACAATTATAATAATAATTATAGCTGATTCACATGGACAGCTTGGAATATAAGGAAAAAGAAAAAATTATCTAACTCCCAAGCAATGCTAGTTTGGTATAGTTGTTTCCAAAATTTCTTGCGGATTTGATCACACAGCAATAATTACGAGTAACTTATTAATCTTTGATTATTCAATTGTAGATCAAGGCAATCTATATATGATGGGTTCAAATAATGAGGGCAAACTAGGACTGAATGAAAAATCTATCTAGAGCATTTTATCTCCTTAGCTCGTTGATACCCTTTTGCATTCTTAGATAGCTTCAGTTTCATGCGGTGACTAACATACAGTAGCTGTCAGTTCTACCGGAGAGTGTTATTCTTGGGGCCAGGGAACGAACGGTGCTCTAGGAATTGGCTAAGTCATTTAGAGGTTTAAGCCAACTTAAATCGAGGAATTAAAAGGATAAGTAATTATTGATGTATAATGTGGTGCAAAGCACACTTTGCTTATGAACGTAAATCATGAAATATTGTCTTGTGGAAATGGAATGAATGGATAACTAGGATTAGGAGTCAGTAGAAACGAACTATTTCCCAAGAAGATTATATTCCCAAATCAGGCAACCAAAATAGTATGCTTTTCAGCTGGGAATTACCACTCATTATTTCTGGAATAAAATGGCGAAGTATTTGGATGTGGTTCAAATGATCAAGGATAATTAGGTATTGCAGACATTTAATATACATTAACTCCTCAGAAAATACCAAACTTGTAGAATGTGACATAGATTTCTTGCTTTGATTCATCAATGGCAGTAAATTAAATGGGCTAAGTATTAATATGGGGTCCATCTCTTGTTGATCAATCTTTTTCGCATCATATCTAGCCAGTCACTTCAATCCCTAATCAAGCACTAAAAATAAGGATGGGAAGAACCATGGGTGTAATAATGGACAACTAGAAAATGGTTTGGGTGTTTGGAGCAAACAAAAGAGGCGATTTAGGGGTTGGTGACTATGGCAAGAGGTTACATCCTTACCCTCTAGTAAATCTTCAAGAAAAAAATGTGACTGATATCTAGATTGGCAATAACTACGCAATAGCTATAACAGAATTTATGCTTGAAGAGAGAAAATCAGAGAAGAAATAAACTTAATAGAACAAGCCTTCTTAGCAGACTAACTAGGTTATAATGAAGGATTCTTTAGCTTCATCTTCAATAATGACCAATAATGGATAAGATAACTGTTCTACTATAAACGTCAACAATGGTCATTAAAACTCGAATTTTTACACTTACTCATCTCAAAATCAATAAGAAATAGAGAGACAGATTCACGATTTCAAGAGTTAAAGGTAGATTGAGTTGATTAAAAAGGATGTAGACAGATTGACTAAGTAGTAAAAGAACTAAAATGACTATATAGGCAGTTTAGAAAACGAGATGCATCGAAAGAATCACATGATAGAAGAACTTCAGTATTAGATACAATAGTTTTAGGCTAGTTAAAGTCAAAGTTAAGTTACAATGCAATAGCAACAGCAATAGTTTCAAAGCAATTCTCAGCATAATCCATTCCACTAAAATATGCTCTAATAGTAGCAGTATTCTCCCTAGTTCTTAGACACTAAGCTTTAGTCTTAGGATCTTAATTAGCAGTTGCATATGAGTGGGTAGCCCTCATAATAATCAAATCAATTATTCACTGAGTCAAATAATGAACAGCCAAACAAAGATAAACAATCTAATAAGATAAAAGCGATGAAGGATAAGATTAATGAACTTCAATAATAGCTAAATTATACAAAGCAATTAGAGGAAAAAGAAAGAGAGTTAAGGTTTGAAACTTAGCAAAAGTTAGTAGAATTAGAAGAGCAATATCAAGCTTAATAGGAAATTAATCTAGAGACAAAGCGCGAAATAGATTAAATGGTTTAGGAGATATAGCAGCTTTAGACAGACTATAAAGCTAAAGAAGATGACTTGTCAAATAGACTAGATGATGCTTTTCAGCAGTTGCAATCTAATAAGTAAATTATGGATGAGCATAGGCTTCAATTAGACATATTTGCTAAAAATAATGAAGAACTCAAGATGGAGTTGAGGAGGCAAGACGAAATTAATCAGATATTGCAAAAAGAGAATACAGACCTCCTAAATTAGATTCAGAAATTTAGTCATAGTGAAAGTCTTCAGTTAAGCTAACTGACAATTGGTAATAATTAGCTGAAAACTGATTCGAGAGGTAGGTAAACTCCTATTATTAGTCAGCTCTTCAACTAAAACCTTCAAAATTCAGGAGGAGGAAGCAATGAAAATTTACAGAAGTCAAGGATATTCAAATCTCCAATGCCTTTTAATCTTGATAAATCTTCTAAGTCTTTAAATACTTCCCCTATGCTAGGATAAATAAATACTTTTGAGCCATAGATTTTGAACAGGAATCCAAGTAAAAAGCCTTTTGATTATAATGTTCAACAGTAGTAAATGTACTTGAATCAAGGAATTGGCTATACAGAAAATAGTATGTTTGCTTAAAATACTGAGAATAGAATAGACTCAAGATAGTCAAGACAGTCTCAAAGATAGATGCTAGAAGAGTATAACCTCAGACTCCTAAAGTCTATAGAGAGGAAAGCCAAGAAAATTCAAACAGGTACTGATGACTTTAGCTAAGCTGACGGAGCTGATAGTCGCGCAGTGAGTCCTAAATCAATTAAAATCAATGAGATATATAAGTAATATGAAGATGCTAAATCCCCGCCTAGAGTGGAGAGCTTCAAGGATAAGTACTCTAACTTTTCAGATATTAAGAATAAACTGCTGAGTTCATCAAAGCTAGGACCAGATGATAGAAATACTAAACTCAGATCAGAAACTAATTAATCTAAGATATAAGTTAATCTTGAAAGACCTTCTTCTTCTTAAATGAGTAATAACAAAGACAGATTCAACACTCAACAGGAATTAATGGATAAGCAGATTTTTCAAAGACTTAATATGATGGGTATGGGTGCTGAAAATGGAAAACATTAAAAGTTCTCTATGGAGAGTGACATTAGTGGATACTAATTCTTAACTCAGAGTGAAAAATTCTCTTCAAATAGGAATCTTATTTCTCATAATCAAGACTAGCATTAGACTTTTCATCCAACTTAAGGAAACGATGAATTGTCATAAAATTTTTCCTGAAAAAAAATTATACAAAAAATATATTTGGAATAAATTCATCTAATTTTAATTTGCTTTATTTTTTTGATTATATGATAATGGGGTTTTGGGGTTTTGGGGTTTTGGGG